AACTGGTGCGAGATGAATTATGGTCACTGGTCACTGCTCATGCAGTACTTGAAAAGAAGTTGTTCTGTATGGAAAGAAGTTGTTCTGTATGGAGTGGAAGAATCAATGAAAGTTATCGATCCCTGATGATCATTCATGGAAAACCGTATCGGTGCCTCCGACGGGGAGTTCGAGTGTTGGTTCTAGATTTGGGATACTAAATGGTAAGCTTTTGACTTTGTTGTATGATCCGAATGCATCGCCGGGGTCGGAGTGGAGGACTACTGATATAAAACCATCTGGTGTGTGCTTGTGCAGTGTAACAATCAAACAATCAATGCCTGAAAGTGTTTAATGCTTCTGAATTGGAGATGTTGATAGAGTAGGCAATAGAGCTAGTGTTTTATGTTGTTTATGATTGTGATTGTAGCAGTGTACAGGGTTATGGAAAAAAATTGCAACCACAATTTTGGCTGCAAAATGTTCTTTTTTATGAAAGATAGGAAAATGAGTGTAGCTTATGTAAAAATATGTCATCCATATCCATAATGCTAAGTTGATATTAGATATTCTGAAAAAACTGTTATGTTGTTCAAAGAGTTCTATGAAATTACACCCTAAAAAAACAGAATTCTATCTGATAAGACAGATGATATTAGATGTTTAGTAAGTCATTGTAGTTCTGGCTGATATTTGAGATTTAGTCAATATCTCATATTGGGATATTGGGATATTAGGTTGGTTATGAAAATCAACTATTCAGAACAACCAATGAAAGCAGACATTGAATTTTCAATTTGGACAAAATTTTGTAATGGTCCAATTATAAATGAAAACCGAAACAAATCGATTAAGTTACCTGAACCCGTTTTAAACCGAATCCGAAAAAACCGATAATTAAATCGGTCGGAATTGGGTTGTTATATGCCACCCGAGGGTTGGGCCGGATTGGGGTTTTGGGCCCGAACCGACCCGACCCTAAAGTGGCTTTAGTTTCTGTTGATAAGCATACATATCACAACTCTTACTATGGCAGATTCAAATTTGTGCATATTAGCGTATTAACTCAGAATCTATGAGAAAGGTTGGTAGAGACGAAGGTCTTAACCCTCAACATTCTCTATCAGAAAAGAATAGGAAAAATCCTTCAACTCATTAATGGATTGTTTCAGAGACAAAGTGCTCCAAAAATAAAAACATGAACACAACTACGACATTACATATTCTTATTTATAATTGTGTGTGCAAATATACACATTCAAAGTAAAGCAAGTGATAAAAAAAATTATCAATCCCACGAAAATTGAGTTTAAACATTTTGATAAGTCATTTGAAACCAATAAAGTGGTTCATGAACTAAAAAGAAAATAATATTGAGTATCATGTAACAAGGTTATAGAATAGTTGAAATTAATAATGGTTTTTGGTCATAGTATATGAATATTTTGGACAATGATTCATTCTATAGATCCATTGAATGAATGTGGTGCTCTGTCAAGTGAGATTAGGCATAAACTTTGTGGTATTTGATAACAACGTGAAATATGCAACACTTCACTAAGATTACGTTATATTTAAGCAATCATTGGCATCATTACAATTCAACTAAAACTTATCATGTTTACATATATAGTTATAATCCTTTATGTCTAAAGTGATTAAGTGAGAAATGTATATCTATTTGGTACTTTATCCTATTAGTTCTTTAAATTCATTTACTAAACATTACCATAATTTAATAAAAATTTATTTAACCCTAAGATGATAAACCTCGTAATTAAATATATAGAAAAAAATACAAGAACTAAACATGACTAAAACCAAATTCATACACAATCAAAAGATTACTTGTTCATAGAGTTTCACATTATCCAAAAAAATAAATAAAATTAGCTCATAGTGAACAAAGTAACGAGATATTAGACTATATATTTTTAGAGAAGTGTGGGTAAAAATGATAAATTTAAAGAAATAAGGTCATTCTTTACAATCTTTCAATTGCAGTTGAACCATTGGCGTTATGTCTCTCTGCGTTAACTTGTACAAAATTGGATATGGAGAAGAGATGGTGATAGTAACTTTGGTTTGTCCCTTTCTTTACTTTTCAAATTGGATATGGAGGAGAGATGGTGATAGCAACTTTGGTTTGTCTTTTTCTTTACTTTCTACATATCCTTTCTCAGTCATCTTTCAATGTAGAGTTTTCTTCCTATTTATAACTCTCCTTTTTTTATCCTTCGAACTTTGTCTCAAAAATAAAGCATATTCTTTTTTTGAAAGTGATACTTTGATAGTACATTGAATAGGCCTAACATCTTTTATTCTTTCATGTAACTTTTTATTCTTATATATTTCATGTGGTCTCAACATTTATCCTAACTTCTAGAATCTTCTTTACTTAGTTACTTTTCAAGCATCATAACTTTAACCAAAAACATCTTCTTTACTTAGTTACTTCTCAAGCATCATAACTTTAACCAAAAACATCTAACACTTAAGTATATGTTGGGAATCAACAGGCAAGCATTGTCTTGACATCAGTTATTTTAAGAACTGGACATGCACACTAAAAATCAAGTAAAAAAAACCTAGACTGCTCATTTACAAAATATCATAAAATGACTTAAAAGTACTGAAGTTACAATTTGAACCATTAGATGTCCTCCCGTGATGCCTTCACAAAAGGGCATTAATGATGCAACATTAGTCCTACTCTCAAAACAATGTGGCGTGTAGAAGTTAGTCTTGCTCGACTATTTATGCAGGTGATGTATATGTGGCACCCAAAATTTTACACGTTTCTTCCTCTTCTCTTTATGTGGCACCCAAGGTGATGTATATGTGGCACCCAACGTTTTACACGTTTCTTCCTCTTCTCTTTATGTGGCGCCCAAAATTTAACACGTTTCTTCCTCTTCTCTTTATTTTCCATTTTTACTTGGCACGTTTGTTAGTATTGATATTGATTGACAAGCCCCGTCATAACTTACTCTAACAATCATTTTTACTTGGCACGTTTGTTAGTATTGATATTGATTGACAAGCCCCGTCATAACTTACTCTAACAATCACACAACAGCTCCGTCAACTTCTGCAAACCTAAAAAAAGATTTGACTTGTAGCATTCGATTATAATACTAGCCTGCATCTTCTAGTTTAAGAGAATCTGTAAGAATCGTTTATCTTTGCTTGACAGTAACTTATTTTTATGTATAAACCATAACATCTAGTGAACGAGAGAATAACCTTGCTCAAGTTGAACTTTCTTTATTGAACAACATGGAGGGCACAAGAATGATAACCCATTCAGAAAAACCTTTGCAAAGAACAATATCTATGAATTCTCATGAGGGTGTCGTGTCATCTTCAACTGAGATGGCTAATTAACACATAAAACGTAATTAGGAAGTGATGTTCCTTTCTTAAGAGCAATTACGTTGATATATTTTTAAAACCAACGCAAAAGATTGATTGAAAGATGGGCGTTCTAAGAAAAACAATAAACAAAGAACAAACCTTCCACATAAAAAAAGGATTTTCAAAAGATTTTGTTGGCAGAAAAAAAAGACTAGTTGCAAGACCAGATTTCGATAATTAAACCAACAAACCTGAATAACCAAAGCTCACAAAATAACAATAGCCAAGTAGATCCATGTTTAAGACTAAGCATTTTCTTAATAAAGAGAATCTCAAACAAAAATTGTCTAACAAAAATCATCATGTGGGTGAATTAGAAAACTAAGACTTCCTGAAGTTCTCACTTCTTGTCTTCCTTCTCAGCCTCGGCAGCCCTTTTCAGTCTGGCACCAAGATGGCGTTTGTTTGTTCGTTCAAGGCGAAGCTTGTAATAAGCTTTAAATGCCTTCATTTCATCTGTAATCTTAACCAGCTCTACAGCTGGCTTCTCCCTCACAATGGGCAAGTATGAACCTTGAACCTGTGTGGCATTTGCAAGTTCCTCGGGAGTAGAATCACCAGCCTGCAAATATAAAAGGGCCATAAGAAATTAAGAATAATTTACAACTTTTTCTTTTTAATAATTATCAGCAATGGTATCAAAATTAAGAAAAGGCTAATATGTTTAAAGCATATAACTGCAGCTTACCTTAACCTTGCGTGCACGTCTTGGGAAGACGACCAACTTAGCCTTGTATGTTTTCAGCCTCTGCACATTGGCTTGCAGACCCTCCAAGGATCTGTTCCTACGGCGATGATCAACAGAAATGCCGATAGTTCGTGCAAGCTTTTTGGGAATTCCAGCAGCCTACAAAGTAAAATATAAGATATAAAGGATCAAATAGATTCAGTTAAAAAAGAATGTCAAAGTTACAACACATAGTACTACATGCTTATCCAACAGCCTACAATGTAACATATAAGAAATATACAAACAGATAGATAGATAAAGTTAGAGAAGAACATCAAAGTTACAATATTGGTTACATTCTGTACACCAAAAAGATAGATAAACTTAAAGAGCACCAAAGTTACAATACATAGTTATATGTACTACAAGCTTATCCAACAAACTTCTAAGGTCTTTACGTAATGATTTCAAGACCTGGAGGCCAAAAAAGCATGGATAATACACCAGTCCTAGCCCTTGATGGTCAAGGTTTCTACGATTCAATTTGAGTTAGGGCCAGCCAATAGACCTTAGGTCTTGAACTAGAATTAAGAGTGTTTTGCAAATACAATTCAATGTATTGATATAGATACCAGTAGCAGAAAAACAGCAAACAGAAAATACCAACATAACATCAATTAATTCTGTAGGAAATGAAATTAAAAGGAAAAACAAAATGAAAACCAGTTTCTATGTACTGATATCGCTAATAAGAACATGAAAAATGAAAATGCCTAGACATGATGCACATCAAAATTTTATCCAAAGTCATTCGCTTATATAACATATAAATAAATCTTAGCATCATCAGATAGAGATCCTATAACTTCACATAATTGCATGATCAAGAAAAATTACATAAGTTAAGGACACAAACCACTCAAATACATCATACCTTCAATTCCTCAAGAGAAAACCCTTTGCCAGCCCTAAGTTTCATGTTATATTTCTGAGTTTGTCCATGAACAATGGGCCTGAGAGGTCCAGCAGTAGGCCGGGGGAAAATCTTAACAGCTTTCTTCTGACGAGCTGAACAATACACCATTCACAACAAGTTAGTAAAATCAAGTAACCATAAACACTAATCCAAAACTAACACTTACTTCAATTTTCAATAGATAAAACTGAATAAAAATAATAAAGTTGCTAGAAAATTACCCAATCGTCTTCTTGTTTTCCTTGCTGGCTGATTAAACCATGTCTTCACATAGTTTTGCCAGTGCTTTCTGAAGTGTTCATTAGGGATAACATTGTTATGCTTCACCATTGCTTACCTTCAAATATCAAACCAAAATCACAAAGATTTCATAAACCGTGAATATGATTACTATACTAATCTAGCCTAACATATCTAAATTCGTTCCAAATATTTGCAGACAACATTGAAATGACCAGTGTATCAGAAAATCCACAGCGAAATTAGTGTAGAAAGTTAAGATCTGGAATTAGAACAGCGTGAAGAACTGTGACTGGAACGTTAAAGAAGATGGAAAGATATTAAGAGGCGAGAGATACCTGAGGCTGGTTCACGAGCAGGAACGACTGAAGAAGATGGTGGCAGAAAATGGAGCTTGAGATTAGGGTTTTTCCGATAAATGTATCGTTAAACGTTGGGCCCAAAGGTAAGGCCCAAGATTGGATTTAGCGTTTTTTTCACCTGTTTGGGCCTGTTCGTACCTATACTGATTACAAGTTACCATTATAAATTGTTTTTTTTTAATTATAAAATTAATAAAGTTTTACATTATAAGATTGGATGACAATATTATTAGTGCATATCTTTTTTCTCTTTTAAATTAATTTAACTATTTTAATGGTTTTTAACTTAAATGTGATTTTATATCATATTATTATTGTGAACAAACATCTAAATTTTATAATTAGAAACCGGTGAAGTAATTTTATAGTTTTTTTTTTACTAAGTAATTTTATAGATAAAAGTGGAGTTTATACTAGTTTGTATAAGTTCGTGTCAATAAATAAATTTTGATTAATCATATTTCTTATGTTTTATTAAATTTTTTATCGGTTTATAGTATTTTTTATAAATATTTTAAGTATGTTTGGTCTTATAATTTTTTTTTATTATCTTAATTGAAAAGAAAATTAATATTTTTTATTCGGAAAAATTTTAAATATCTTTTATAACATTGCATAATTATCTTCTCATTCAATTTATAATTATTCAATTGAAATCTTTAAATTGTTTATACTATCAAGTTTACTTTTAAATCACGTTTTAGTAAACTTTAATATATCAATTGATTTGCGTGATGTGAAGTAGACCAACAACCATGATAAAATATTTTGGACACATTGAGCCAACATGTTTAGATCAATTTTGAGAGAGCAAGTTAAGATTTTGAACTTGTTCTTATTAGTCGGTTCGTCTCATTTAACCCGCTAAATTAACTAGGTGGACAGGTTGGTCTATTGAATTAAAATATCACAACCACGGTCAAACTTTATCCCACTAAGTTTGATCGGTTACATGGATCAAGTTTCACCGTAAAATTGTATCCAATATTATGTTCCTATCCAATTCGTTAATTTCGAGAGTTTTCTTAATAGATTATTTTATAGTTTTTTATGTCTTCTTCTACATCTAGTTTTTTGACTTCTCTCTAAGTGAAACTAAGAGGAGGAGTTTCCTCTTCTTTTGGTCAAAAATGCATGAGTGCACAAATTGGGTCCTTTCTATAATCGTGGATGAGGTGGTTCCTCCTTTTGATTAATTTCACGTGTGACACGTACCTTACCAATCGAATTGGTAGAAAATATGGTGCGGTAAAGACAATTACACTAGGGCATAATAGGGCAACTTCTCATACATTTTGGGTGATATGTGGCCTAACCAAGGGGTGGTCGCCCAATATCGGTGCAGTTGACTCGGCTTCTGCGCTTTTGGGATATTGTACCATGATCTAGTAAAATTATCCCAATTAACAAATCCTCGGACACGAGGCATTGGAAAGGGAAAATGGGTTAACCCAGGCATGTAAAGACGTGGGGGAACTCTTCGACCAGATATATGGGATTATTTCTCAAATTCCTCGAGTGAAACCTTGGTTGAGCCCCTCAAGCGAAGATAAAGGCAAGTCCCTCAAGTGTCACCAACAATGGCACTTGCGGTAATAAATGCTTTTAAGGTGGAGATGCCTTAGGAAGACAAGCGGCTTAGGACCATGCACGTGTCAGAGACATGGGGAGGTTTCACAGTAACTGTTGGCGTGTCTATTGAAAGGTCGTCATTGCATACTAGCTTATAATTTAATAAAATGGCAACTCCATCTCATTTTCAAAACAACTGTCATATTCTTCTTTGTTAGAAACTTCTTTCTTAAGCATTTGATTACACAAAATGTTAAATAATTTAAGAACTTGATTACAACTTTTTTAGTTTAGAACCATATTTTAAATTTCTTAAATGATATTTTTTTTTAAATCTTGGTATCAGATCTTGCGACTGGATACTTAAAGGAGATAAATCCAATGTCCACTTATTAGGGGCCCGTTTAAAGGCAAGATTCGAAACTAGCAGGATTCAAACATGAGACTTTAATATGAGCAAACTCTCATGACTCAAACCTTCACAATAGGCCAACCCCTTTGCGCCTACATACTAATTAAATTTCAATTTTAAATAGAAATTAATTTAGAATATTAGATAAATCACAAATAATTGACTCATTATCGTTCTTATTAATTATATGATTATTAGAGTCGCGTATTTTAATTAGGAATATACATGGATCAGTTTGAGTTAAATTTTGTTGAAATTAAACTCAAGACTTTGAGTAATTCTAAATCAATCTTAACGAAAAAGATTCAATCACACTGATCGAATTCTCACATATTTTTCACTCTTCACTCGAGCGAATCAACCAACCTTGATTGCAAGATGATTATCTCTACACAATGACAATGAAAGGAGAAAAAATTGAATCGGGGAAGAAAGAGAGATTTGGGTTTTAGAGAAAAAATAAGAGAAGAGATCTTTTGCAGAGCTTCTCTCTGCTTCCAAACTTGGAATTTTATTTTTTGTAACGGCAAATGTTCAAGTAAATTATAATTCATAATAGGGTTACTCTCTATTTATAGAGTTGGCTTGCTCACTCCCTGAACAAAACCCCAAAACAAAAGGCCCAAAGTACCTAACTTTGTTAACATTACAAAATTATACCTAAGTCGAAATTCCTGTCGAGGTACACTCCTTCGACATTTTGACACTCACACAATTTCGACACACAACATTTCAACGATAACAGACTTTGTCAAAAAATGTTGTTCTGACACAATGAATTACAATTCAACACACCACCTGATTCATTGTGTCCAAGCTATCTATACTCATCATTGACATTAACTTCTTTAACACTTCAACGTGCACTCTCTTCGTCATGATATCTGCAATCTAATTCTCAATTCTGTAGTTTTCCAAGTTTATCTTTCCATCTGCTACTTGCTCTCGAAGATAATGGAACCTCAATTTGATGTGTTTGCTTCCACCATGTGCTATTGGACTCTTTGTCAAATTGATAACAGACGTGTTGTTGATCTTCATGGTAATTGCTCTATGATTCTTTCCTATAATCTCTTCGACCAAATTCACCACCATGTTGCTTGACATGCACAGAGAGAAGCATGTATGTATTATGTTTCACATGATGATAATGCCACTACCGGTTTCTTTTTTGAACTCCAAGCAACGGATGCACCACCTAGCATAAACACATAATCAACTGTGTATTTTCTATCCTCAATGTCACTACACCAAATTGAGTCGGTGTATCTCACTAGTTTGCATTATTGTCTTTCATCAGTTGCAGAAAACAAAATGCCATAGTCGAGAGTTCCTTTCAGATATCTTAGTGTCCTTTTCGTCGCTACTAGGTGTGATACATTTGACTTATGCATGAATCTAATAACCATAGCTACATTGTATGTAAGATCAAGCCTTGTATGACAAAGGTATCGAAGTGATCCAATGAGTCTTATGTACTGTGTTGGATTGACATCATCTTCATTTTTGTCTTTCGACAGTTCCAATATGGGTCAGCTGGAGACAATGTTGGGTTGCAATCTTGTATCTCAAATCTATTGAATATTTCGCTTGGATATCTTCTTTAGTGTATCATAAAACCTTTACCACTCTTGTAGAATTCAATTCCAATGAAATATGAGAGATTTCTCAAGTCTGAAATTTCAAACTCCTCACTTTGGCCATGTCTGAAATCTTCAATCTCCATCCTGCAGCTTCCTATTATCAACAGGTCATCGACATAGAGACATAGTATAAGCAATTCAATATTGTTTCTTCTTACATATACTACATGCTCAGTTGTATACTTTACAAATTCTTTCTCTCTTAGAAAGATATCTATCTTATTATTCCAAGCTCCTCGAGCCTTCTTACATCCATATATGGCTTTATGTTGTATACCTTGCTTTCTTTGCTCTGTTTCACAGACCCATCTGGTTGTGTAACATAAACTTCTTCATCTAATGGGTCATTCAGGAATGCACATTTCACATCGATCTGACATATGTGCCAATTGTTCATGTTTGCTAGACCAACAACCAACCTGATTGTTTCGATCCTAGCAACAAGTGCAAAAACTTCTTTGAAGTCAATTCCTTCTTTCTGAAGAAATCCTTTCTCCACGAGTCTTATCTTGTGTCGAGTTACTTCTCCTTTGGGATTCAACTTCACCTCGTATACCCATTTCATGTTGACTGCCTTCTTGTATTGAGGCAATTCGACAAGTGACCAAGTGTTGTTGACTTCGATGGACTTCAATTCCTCATTCATTACTTTTCTAATAAAATCAACGATTTTTCCTTAAATCCTAATTAAAACGGTTAACAAACTTTTTCCTTTTATTATTCAAAGAAAACAAATAAGCGTAGTTGACATTCAAAATCACTAATTATACTAAAAGGTTCCCGTTGAGTACAACGGATGTGAAGGGATGCTAATACATTCCCCTTACATAACCAACTCTCGAACCCGGATATGGTTGCGATGACCATTTTCCTTTCCTTAAAAGGTTTTCTCGATATTTTCCTACTCCTTCGTTCGAATAAATTAAAATTCGGTGACGACTCTGTTCGAACAACTTTTTCCGCATCCATCGCGAGGATCGTATTTTTTTAGGTACGACATGTATATATATTTAAAATACATTCATAATGAATTCAATCTACCTATCAGAGACAATCTCAAATAGAACTTGTGCCAATCATTTTGAGCAGTTATTTACCACA